TGCTTCCTGCATTGTTACCCCTTTTGAGTGTTTGCCAACCCAATCGCTTATTTGCCAGCGAAGTGGGTCAATGGATGCCGTCTGGCTATCATCTGACTCCGGCCATTTAATCGTGGCCAGAAGATCCCTGGTCCGCCGTTTATTACGATTTTCCATTTACTTGTGCATAATTGGAACTATTGCGATTGTAGGAGCTACAGGCGATGGGTGGTGATGATGATGATGAGGAGTATGAGGAGTAGTGTAGTGTGCAGCTAGCGCATTGTGTTTCGTTTTTGTTGTTTGCCTCCATGTCTCCGTGCCAATCATGCAGGTTGTTGAACTCCCTACACTCGCACACTCGTACACTCGCCGACCGGGTGAGTGGCTCTCAGAGATTCAGCAGCTCTCCTCCGTCGCCAGTTTGTTCAGATTCTGATTCTGATTCTGTTTCTGATTCCGAATCCCAATCTGCCGCTGATGCTCCGCCTCTAGAGCTTCAGATGCTGGCGTGGATTCGACTTGACGTTGGCCTGCTCTCTGCTTCCGCAATGCTTTCTTCGCGAGTACAGTAAATACCAGATAAGGTCATAAGCTAATATTTGAGCAGCCTAAAAAGTTAACCATCAAAGACAAATTCCCCTGTGGAAGTTCATTATTTTTTTTTGCCGATTAAATTTTAGGTACGAAATGTTCAAAAAGTTTTCACAATGTATTGGTTATTGTAAAATTAGATTAATATGGACTTTTAACATAAGGGCGTAAATCACCAATTTTTACATCAAAATTGAAATAATGATCCCATATTAAAATGTAATAATAATCAAACCAAAAACTTAGTTTTTTTAATGTAGCTCCTTTTAGAAAACAAAAAACAAAAATAAATCATTGGTAAAAAAAAATTAATATTGAAGAGAGTAATTTTTTTTTTCCGCCAAAAGTAAAAGAGAACCCGATTTTTTGCCCAAAAAAAAACATTATTTTTGGGATAACAACAAAACTTATTCTTTAAAATTTGATGATTTCGTTTTTATATTTCCAATTAATTGGCATTCTCAGCTGAAATATTTTGTTTTAAATATTTCCCACTTTTAAACATAAAACGAATGGAAAAAATGTTGCTAAGTCTCCACGCTATGTTCTCTCTTATTGAGTACCTACCGCGCTGTATCTAACTTTTTCGACTTTTTCTTTGGCTCTGCCCAGTTCTTTGGCTTTCTTTCAAACTATTACCACTAAAATTGTTGACTTTGCTTTGCTTTACTTTTGCTGCTGTTGGTTCTTATACAAATATAGTTTCTAATGGGGAGAGGTCCCATTGTCTGAGTTTTCATTTCCGCCGTTCTTGTACTCCATCTTCTCCAGCTCCAGCTCTCAACTCATTGTGTCGTGCTCAAGTCTTCATTGCGATATTTTCTCAATTGCATTTGGACCACGGCCTGACAATGACATGTGTGTCCCCATCTCATCTGTATCTTTCATCTTTCATCTCTCAACTCTCGACTCCCAACTTGTCTTGATCCCATCCTCAACACTTTCGAATGCCGCAGGCTTTTAATCATTTTTAACAAAAATCACAACTATGGTACACGGAGAAAAAAGATTGTTTTGGGATTGGAAAAAATACAAAATTATTGATGATTATATATGAGTAACCATATGGTATTAAATTCCAGAAGATTTTTGTTGAATCAGCCGATAAATTTAAAAATATAAAATATTTGAAGTATTTGATTTTGTTTAAATATTATTATTACATGTTAATTTACGTAACTTGTTTGAATATTACTTCATAAGCAGATATTTAATATGTTTTGGAGAGGAGGAGAATAATTTATTAACTAATAATTCATATAACTAAGATTTTTTCCATGTGTAAAACTAGAGGAACACGTAAAAACCAAGTTGAAAGAACTCTTAGGGGGCATTGTTGCTTTTTTTCGCTTTTGATTGGTTTGACCGATTTACATTGTGCAAAAGAAATGAGTTTTGGGGGAGGTATATAGAGGTAGCGCTAGCTTTTTTTCATTTCTTTGGCCCACATAGGGCCCGAAAACATGTTGCTCTTAGTTTCTCCCACATTTGGCTCTCCTGTTTAGCAGTTTTTTAGCCATTTCTGATAATTAAAAAGACAACATTTCATTTGTTTTGTTGTCGTTTTCTAAAGCTGTGTTATGCTCCCTTGGCAGTTTGCCATTGCCTGTCCCAGAAGCATAAAATAGAGTGGACAGGAAAGGGGGTAATGGATATATGGCCGACTTAATTGAGTCTATGGTGGAGTGGAGGGAGTAATAATATGGAATCTCAAACTGCTGCCAAGAACGCTTCGATTCTAGATGGTTATTGCCTTAGACTTGCAGACATCATTATGAGTCTGAAAATTTTAGTTACAAACAAATTGTTTCGAAAATATATTCACATCAATAAAATTTTTTTAGGCAGTATCAGTATATCAGTAGCATATTTTCACAAAATAATCGGCATTTTTAAATCAAAATTGTATTGATATGTGTTTTTAATTCAATGTTATGATTTTATAAAATATTTTCACATCAAAAAAATTTTGACTTTGAATTTATCTGGATCACATAAATGCACTGTGATATTAAATCTTAACTATTTCAAAAAGAAATAAGCACTTATCGTATTACATAATTCGCAAATGGGCAAAAAGTACCATTTTCTTTGCAAATTATTATTTAAATTTGTTTGTGCGTCAAGAATTAAAATTACACAGCTTCGTAGAAAACCACTTCAAAGTTGGCGGCACTTATGTCAGAAGTCTTTAGCTAGAGAAATGGAGAATGAGATGAATGAAATGAAATGCTTTCAATTGCTCAGCTTAGTCACGTTCCATTGCCAACTGGAGAAATGTGTCGCATCATCTAAAGGCAATAGCAGGTTTTTCGGGTGGTTCCGAAACTCGCTTCATTGCGTAATCGACTAGATACAAGGGACGGGGGAATACTAATGCCCCTAATCCCATTTGTGATCACTTTCTTTGAGGAATGGGGCCAATTTGTGGATCAAACTCGTTTTGAGGGCGCCAAATACAGTCGCACTTCTCTAAACTAGAACCACTTTAAAAGATTAATGGTAACAACTTTTAAGAGATTATTATCAATTTAAAACTTTCTAAAGTGTTAAAGATTTAAATCTCGAGTTAACAGAAAGGGTTTTTAAAATTATCAAGATATTATATGTACATAACATATATAAAGATATGAAATCCTAATAAAAAGTTTCTTTTTTTAAGGTAAACAAAAACATTTGTAATAACAAACTTGATAAAAATAGTAATACAACACCATTTAGACAGCCAGTTTTCAGTACTATGCGTTAAAAGAATACCACATTAGTCGTTGAACAGGTTAACAAATCATAGGAGTTAGTTAAATTAGTTATAGGTTTCCCTTACTGAAGTTGGACTGTAGCAATCAGATCGATTCATCGGTATTAACATATGTGTGTTTAAGCTGCGGTGATTTCTTTTCGATGCGGATTTGTTTATAAAAACGCATCGAAAAGAAAGTTTTTCAGCTTGATGTGTGCGCGCGACGGCGGCAACAACAAAAGTAGTAATAATAATTATAATATTATAACAAAAACAACAACAACAACAACAACAACAACAGAAGCATCAAAAGCGTGATGCTTGAGGCTTTTGTCTTGTCTCAATGTCACGCCTCCCAGTAAAAAAAAATAAGGGGGGAAGGCGGGTCAAGGGGGAGGAAACGGCTACGACGGAGTTAAGCGAGCGTTTTGTTTAAATAATCGCGAGACAGGCGCGCGCACCACAAGAAAGCGTAATAATAATGAAAAATAATAACAATAATCATGCGCAAATGGTAGAAAACAAAAAGCACTCGCATATCTATACAATATGTGTGACGGTACGCGAAGCAAGTGAAATTTTTCCACAACGACACTCGAAACTGCGGCGAAATTTCTTAACACTTTCATAAGAAGTCATGAGCAGTGCAAAGAAAATAAATTAAATTAAGCCAAAAGCCGCTCAGCGAGCCGTGCCTTTAGACATTAAGACTTAAGCTTGATTTAGTTAGTTTTCTCTGTTTTTATTTTTTAATTTTTACCATTTTCATTGGCGGCTTCCAACTGCTCCCGCTGCGCACTTCTGTTAGAATACAGTGGGGCATCCGTCTGGAAAATAGCAAAATAACATTATATTGTAGTCACTCTCATTGAATACATTAATACGTTTAATATTAAATAAATAGGAAAAATAGAAGAATGATAAAAAAAAGCCTTTTTAAGTACCCAATTATTTCAAGTTATACTAATGTTGACTTAGATAGGTACCACTGTACTTGCTGGCGATTAACAGATCATGATCACTGTTAATGGGCATCCTTTTAATTTTTACATGGGCTCCCGTCTTTCCCTCTTTCTTTCTTTATCTCTTTCTCGCTCTTTCTCTTTCTCTCTCTCTCTCTCTCTCTCTCTTTCCGGCTGACATTGAATTGTGTCAGTGGCAGCAGCGGCAACAACAACGCCTTGTAATGGGGCGGACTGCGCTGCTTCAGCTCAGCCCCACTGACTCAGCCTCTCTCCGCTCCACAGTGGGGTATCTGGATTCAAAACATTTGTTAAACATTCAATTTTGCTTTACTAAATCATACTAAATAAATAATATGCAGTTCATATTAACATATAGTTAAGAACAATAATTGGATTAAGTAACAGTCATCAAATATATATTTCCTCTAGTTTTACAAAGATAATGGCAAACAGATAAACTGTTTTTAACATTTTTTTTTGTATATGAATAAGAAATTAGAATTTTCAAGGTTTGAGCTTTGTATCCACTCCTTCATATAGGGAATAGTCATAATTTAAATTCACAACCTATATTTCTCTTAAGTTAAATTTCTTTTTCGCCCACTGTGCGCTCCTCTTTTATTCTGCGCGTGCGCAGCCGCGCTGTCGACGCAAGCAGAGGCTGCTGGCTGCGTTTCTCGCTGTTTTCGCTGTTCGTGCTCGCCGTGTTCATTGTTTGTTGTCAGTCGACGCGTGTTCATCTCGTTTCATCCGCCCCGTGCGTTCGTATCTGTTTTTTTGTGATGTGGATTTAAATTATACATTATTTATTTGTTTTTGTGTGTGCAATAGTGTGTTCGTTCTAGTTGTGTATTTGCCTAAAATGCCTAAAAATGCAGCAAACGCAATGGAATAAAGACAAGCCGGAGGATAAGAAAAACAACAGCAGCAGGAGTAACCAGGACAACGGCTGTCATCAGCGTCTCTTTTTGTGCATTGCCAAGGTGTACATCCATCTCCTTTCCACATATGGCTTTGATTTTTACTTTCTAAGCTTTTCTCTCAACTCAGGATACTCTCTCTTTTGTGTGGCTCTCTCATTTGTAGTACACACAAATAAATTTATGAGATGTTCAAAATTACAGAAAAAAATCAGATAAGTTTTGTACAAAATTAGACTCATATTTGTTAGTCCGATGGTGGGATATATCTATGAAGCTTTTTATACCAGTTTAGATATACAAATGTAGTATTGATGTTAAATTATTCACAAATCAAAATAGATTTTAAACTGTTTAAATTGACCCCTTTTTTTGTTTAGATGCAAAGGGGTTTTTGTTTCTGTGTAGTCACTCTTCTTCACTTGCATTTTTTTTAGCTTTTGCTTGGCTATTTATAGTAGGTTTTTTTGCTCCTTCTTTTCCTTTTCAACTTGTTGCTCTCTGTCTTCATATTCCTCTCTCCTGTAAGCTTCGAGATGTGGTTTCTTCTGTTGTTCTTTTTCCGCGTCTTCTTTTGCTCTTGGCTTAGCTCTTCTCTAGTTCATTAGCATGGAACAAAGAGTTCTCTGAAGTTGTCTTAGCACCTGAGAATTACCGGGAAAGCCAAAAGAACACACGCTTATCGCTGATGCTGGATTTGTTAGTATGGCGGGAGAAAGAATGGACCTCGACTTACTTATACCAAGTAGATATGTTATCAGATCGGGCATTAAAAAAAAGCCCTAGAAATTTATTTTGGGCCAGAACAAAGAGAGTTCCCCAAAACTCGTACTAAATTGCCTAACACCGGGAAATAAGAGTGTTAGATCTACACAGCAACTTAAGATATTGCTAATTGTGAATTTGTTGTCTGCTCTGCAAATCTTAATGACTTACAGAATAAATCTGAGTAATGTCAGTTCTTTGAAAATGGTCCAAACAATAATTTCAAATTCATTATATTTTATTTTGATTATTCGTAAAGTCATTATAAAATTAAAAAAAAATAAAATAAAATAATGTTTTAAAATTTACCTTTAACAATAAAAGCTTTCTATTAAATTTAAAGAATGTCTCTGTTTAATTAAAAAATAACTAAATTTGGGCTCTCCCTATATTGTACACATACTTCATAATTGTTCACCTATCCTTCCAATGAAATATGCTAACAGATAAATCCGAAAATTCATAGCAGCTGTTTGGAAGTATGAAATCATGTTCCATTTCCCTTTCCCCTCCGATTGGATTCAACAGATGGTTTCTTTTGTTTTTCGCCTCGCATTTCTTTTGCTATTGGCCAAGTTCCGTTTGGGACTCGGTTTCGGACCATATGTAACACATCTCATCGCACAAGAAACACAAGCCGAACAGTAGACCCGACATCAATTCGCATGCAAATGGAATTTCGCTGATGCTTCTTTGCATTTCTCTCTAAAAGCGTTTGTTCATATGCAAATGGGCGTGCCAGAAGGGGGACTACAAAAATGAGGAGGGCTATTTGGGTAGACAACGAAGAAATACCGTTTGAACAGCATAGGGGATATTCTTAAACAAAGTCTAAATGAACAGACTTTACCATACTTTGAATACTAGCTGGAACTTCATGCGTATATCTTATGTCATTATGACATTTTATACATAAAAGAATTTTTAAAGACATAATTAGGTATATTTATATAAATTTTCTTGGGGTTCGTGGAATTTTAATTTGGCACTTAGGATGTATTAGAAATCATATTATTTATCATAAAATGAACAAGAATTTATTTGTACCTTCCCCATTACCTTATGTCATAACCAATTTACAAATACAAGTATAATTTTTAAAGACCTAATTGTATAAATTAATATAATAATTTTATGGTATTTTTAGTTGACACTTAAGATGTATAACAAATCATATTAATTCCATAAAAAATCCATTTTTAAGTCAACGTTTTGTACTGCATACGGTTGGTTTGGGCTTAGCGTGGTGAACTGTAGCGGCAAAATCCGAACTAAGCACTCTTTTGTCACGCTGCAAGTTGCCACAATTGCAATCCGCTTTGGGGTCAGCATTTCTCTGCTACTCATCATTCCAAACACTCTACGTAAACCAATTTGCGACTGCGCATTAAGCGGAAGCATAATGAATGCGCTTTAGCAGAGCATTTCGAATCAATTGCGAAAGTGTGAAAGGAAGTAACCCCGCCTGGAAACCCCTTCGCTGTGCGTTTCCTGCTGGGAGACTGTGCAATGTTCTCAGACAACAATCTGTCAGCAATATCCTGCATCCTGTGAAAGGAAATCGTCGAAAGGAGCTGGGATGGAGCCGTAAATAATGACAAAAGGCCATCCTCGTTGAGAATCTTGGGGGAGGGTGTCTGGTGGAAAGTTTATAGGACGAGGGTCATTTTCAAACCCACTGAATGGTTTCAGTGCGGAAAAAGGGAAATCAAGACAGATGTCATGGGTGTGGATGCGACTTTTAAAGGTTTTCATTTAGGTTATGATTTTGAAATGACTATTAAGTCTTAAGAATTATATATTTTGCCAAAAACAAAACAATCATGAAATACCATTTAACAATTTTTAAATATATAAATTTTTAGATTAACTTTTCCTAGAGAAATTCTAGACATACCTAAAAAATCATGAAAAAGATTGTATCGCTGTGTTTCACAGCTTTTAACTTTTAACTGACCTAACTTCCAAACTGCTGCCAACTCATTGATCGAGTGCAATTCAGCGTAAATATATTCTGATTTAATGCTCCATTTACACATTAATTGTTCACGACCGACCAGAGATTAGTCAGCAATGAAATCATAAATGGATGAGTGATCTGTGCGCGATAACTATGCTGATCTGTCAGATATGGCTGGTCAATAAACTATAGTATTTCCCCCCGTGGAACTTCAACAGTAGCTCCCTCGTTTTGCTTTCTACGCCCAATCTGCATGTGTGTTTGGGTTTTAGTCTTTCCCCAAGCGAATCTAACTGTCTGCCTAGGAGTTTTCCAATCGCTGATCGCTGGCTATTTTTCTTTTTTTTTTTTTGTTTTGTTTCAAGAACCATCGGCTTTCATGCTCAAAGTCCGTTAAGCAAAGACTCCAAGTCGCACTAGCAGTCGAAGACTCTTCTCCAGCGATCGGAGACACCGATTTAGCCATGGCCCCCAGCGGTTTTACAGTTTCCAAGATAGAACCAAACCGAACTGAACGGAACGGATTGGAACAGTTTGCAAAGTCTGTCGCTTTTGCTTTGCATGCAAACACAGTTAGTAGTTGGAAGGCTTGGGGGAAATGTGTGTGAAGCTTGTTGCTCTATTAACTGGCTATGGCTATGGCCAAGAGATTTACGTTGACTGTAATCATAGCCATAACCATAACCAGAACTTAAACTCGAAACCGGAAGTGAGTGAACCAACCAGGCCTTCCGCCTTCTGCCTCTCACTCCTTTTCTCTATCTGCTTTCTATATTTCTTTAGCATAGCTAATTGACAAACAATCTTTTGTTTATGCTGCCTAATTCTCCAGGCATTATTTTCAGATGCCTGCCTGAATCTACATTTTAAGTGCTGGCTATAAGAAGCTGGAGTTTAAACAGCTATTCTAAATTGAGAGTTGGCAGATAGGGTTCAAAAGAACCAAATATACCAGCTTATTGTACAACATTACCATTTAGTTAATAAAAAAGAAATCTTAATTGAATTCATTAGAGCCTTGAGTGTGTGTTCTCTTAACACCGAAGATTAATCATCTATGTTAAAAACCTCTACAGAACAAAACAAACTAATGATCTCTTGTAAACATTAAGCATGTGATTGATTAAGATATTTTCTTGAAATTGATACATCAGAGCATCACCACCGTATACTGTTTTTTTGGACTGCCCAACCATTGCTGACCCATTCCACTGAACTTAGTCACAATCCGGGGCATTCGAGCGACTCTCTCCGATAAAACTTTTTTTTTTTTTTTTTGATTCCGAGACCATACTCGTGCCGTCGCCGCCCCGCCCCCTTTTTACCCCCGGTAATCCCCGCCCTGGAAAAGTGAAAGTAGCGCCCGCGGGGCCATTAGCGTGTGTCTAAAATTAGACAAGACTTGGTGACCTGTTGGCCTAGGCCAGCTAACAACTAACAAAAAAATAAACAAACAAAAAACCCACAACCGACGGATGACAAATCATAAACAAACACACACTTCCACTTAACATGTGTGTTTTGAGAACGGCTTTTTCCAATCAAGTAGTCTTATTACGGAATAAAGGATTCCTATTTCGACTCCTGACAGGATCTTATTAGTTTTTTTCGAAACGAGCGAAGCGAATTGAATATCTTATGTCATGATCATTAAAGCCATTAAGCCCCTGTGTCCCAGACTCCGATGCGATAATGTATTCGTAGAAAGACGCGAGATAAACAAACCCGATTTGAGGGAAAGAGGTGAGGATCATAAATGCGATGACGCATAGCATCGCTCACCTCTCTTTTGGGCCTCACATCATCCGAATTCGCTTCAAAGGAATCCCTGGACCCGCACACTGGTTCAAAGTGCTTTATAAAAGCGATCAAATCTTTCTAGTAGTTTCTAAAAAGTAGTTTCTCGAATTTGTTTGTATTGAAAGCAATCATTTCTTCAGAAGACGCATTTCAAAGGAAATGTAAACTATCTGTATTTGGTTCCCCCATAAACAATGCCAACAATAAAGCGAAAAATACAAATTAATTTATCAGAATTCGCACAGGAACGTGAGCTTCTAGACAAAATTCATGCTGATAGGCTATGGTTCATTGAATGGGAACTTCTGCGAACTTTGCCAGATGAAAGCTCGTTTCTCACGAACACAATTTACTTGATAAGTTATCGCTTGTCGCAGCACTAATCAAACATCGCCGTTATCGACCGATCTGGCCCACTGTGCACCGGTCGAAGGGTGACATATGGTGCCTCCGTCTCCGCCGGCGACTCCCGCATGACTCAAATTGCTGGTATGCCTCCGCTGGCGCCGCCCGCGTCTCCGCTTCCGAGAAAACGCTCAACGTGTTCTCTGCCCCTGCAGTTCGTTAACCGCAGCGCAGCGGCGGTACACTGAGCTAAAAAATACATGATTAACCCAAAGATATAGCTTATGAATTCTCGATATAATATTACTAAAATAAGGCTCTAGAACAAAAAAGCTTAAACCAAGATTGAAATCATTAGGGGTTAAAATTTTAATCTTAAAAGAAATAACAAAAAAAAATTTTTTGTTTTCTAATATAATGTTAAAGTTTATTAACTAAATATTCTATAAAAGAACCTTTGAACATTACCATACATGATTTACATAAAGATGTATAGCTTAGGGGTTCTACCTAAACCTCTTAACTTTTAATTACTCTAAGATCTTTGTTAGCTTGGGTTGCTTAGAAATAAAAGAAATAAAAACAATCCGAAAACCTCTGGATTGTGCTGAATTTGTATATTTAAAAGGTCTCTCTGGAACCCAGTTAGTTTTCTCGCAGTGTAACTGCTATCAGTCGATGACGATGATTGCGACGTCGACGGCGCTGCCTTCCGCTCTGCTCGGCGATCGAAGCCAAGTGGTCGCGAGTGTGCAGTTTTCAGTACATAAGAAACTTCGGACGCGGCGTGTCGCGAAAAGGGAAGAGAAGACTCAAAGAGCCTCCAAATCTACAGATCAACAAATCTACAAAGCAGGATATATAGGATTTTGTTCAGGTGTCACATATAGTACGAATGATCGGCAAGTGATTTGAACTTTAGTTCACTAAAAGGAACATGGTGCATCTGTATCAGCGACGTCGCAACCGCGAACAGGTGGGTTTTATTCGGTTTTTATTCGATTCCAATCGGTTCCAATCAGTTCCGTTCTGGGCCGCATGTATGTACATACATACATACTTCACACACATGTTTGTATACCTGTGCTCCTCGTGCCTGGCATTTGGATTGTCTAATTAGTTGGCGCAGAAAATCGCTTGAATGAAGAAGCCCCAAAGCCATGAATGAAGCAATTGGAAATTGCTCATGGAATTTGCACCTGGTTGGAAACCAATCCAAACCCAAATCCAAAGAAGAAACGGGTGAATATATGTAGTATATATACAGTGAAAATCCCATCACCATCAGAAAGCGAGATAAAGAAAAAGGCCTCAATTGGTTGGCCAATAATGACGAATTGCTTTAATTGAGCAATTCCCACAAGCTTATAATGCTTTAATTTCGTTGATCCGACACTTTGGCGGATGGCTCGCATTGCATTAACCTTGATGGGAACGAGGTCAACACACCCCGGACAATGATGACTGACTGACTGACATACTGACTGACTGACTGACTGACTGACTGACTGACTGACTGACTGACTGACTGACTGACTGACTGACTGACTGACTGACCCATTAAGGAATGAATGAAACTTGCACTTTTCACCAGAAACTCGCAAAAGAGTGCATGTATTACATATCTCTCAAGAGAGATAATAACGAATGTTATATTTGGACAGCAGTAATGAAACTCATTCGCGGAAATTGCTAGATAAAGATTATTCGATTGAAAGCGGAAAAGCGAAAAGGTGTCACATTTGTTGATATTTCCCCATTTGCCCACTTAATCGCGTACCATTTCGAGGAAGATAGGGTAGATTGCACCATGTGCATGCCTGATTATTGGTTTACTACTACAAAAGTAAGCAGCGGTGATGTGATCATGGGCGTCAGCCATTAATTCAAAACTGAAAGATGATCACCGTGCCTAATTGTAAAGCATCACGGAATCGTGAGAACACAGAGCAGAGTTTGCATCACTCCGTAAAGTGCACAAATTAACGATCCGTCAGCGCTGAACTAGTTCCGCCGACCATAAAGACTTTGGGTTTATTGATTTGCAACCCGTTTCTCAGTAATATCGAATGCCCATGAATCAAATGGGCAATGACAGAGCGGAAAGCGGAAACCAGTTGACCACTTTATGTGGGTCAGAGTGGCAGAACTAGTTCCGTAATTTAAACAATTGTCGTAAATTCACTTGGTTATGATGGAGGTCTCATTGCAGCCTAACCCGTTCTCTCACTGCAAATGCCTTTTAATGAGGATATATTTTAAGATCTCGAACATATTGCAAGAGATACTGAACTTAAGCGATTAACTTCGACTGTCAGAATCATATTTTTCATTAGCTCGTAAAGCAATCTGTTTAAGCTGCACTTAAAATGGAATCCAGTCGCTAAAGATCTTATGAATATATGTATATTCTAAATATAGCGTTAAAACATGAATACCTTAATATATTTGCCATAAACTTAAAAAAAAAAGTAAGAAATATAGTCTTGTTTGCTGAAAACAATCCTGTCAAATATTATATTACCCATACTAAGTTTTGTCATAGGCCTGAAATCAAAAATATAAATAAGAACATTAAATGAAATTCTCTTCTTACACAATACAAGTAATTTAGTTCCTTTTGTTTTTTTTGTAATAAGATAATCATATTTGGGGATTTGTCTATTTAAATTTATGCTGAATTCCTTCCGACTTCATTTTAAAATAAAACAATTATACTTTATGGATATCTGTGAAAATAAATAAACACTATACCAAGTATCTCATACTCTTCATGTTTTCCTCTATTTTGCAGGCTGTGAAACAATTCATTGATCTCTGCAACAATCTGGGTGCCAACTGCAGCACGACGACAGCCACATCCCCGTCAGCTTCCACCTCCACAGCCAGCAGCACTCAGAACTTAATAGCAGCTGTGCCGCCGCCGCCACAGCCGCAGGTGCAGGTGCAATTAGCGGCGCCTGTGAGGCGCCACATCTCACATACGACGGCCGTCAAGTTTCTGTACGCCCGCAAGTTCGACATACCGCGAGCGGTCTCACTGTACGAGCAGCATGAGCAGATACGACAGAAGGAGTATCTCTATAACATCGATCCGGATGTGGAACCCCTGCGCTCCGAGCTGCAGACCGGCAAGTTCACAATCCTGGTGAGTGTGCATGCCCTAAGATGCTCTTCATTTACCTCCTTAACAATTATTTCCCTTCCAAATTTGTAGCCCGCACGCACCTCCAGTGGAGCGGCCATCGCCCTGTTCACCGCCAATCGACACAGTCCGCTGAGCGTTTCGCACACGACCACGCTGCAGGGCATCGTCTACCAGCTGGACAGTGCGCTCCAGGATTCGGAGACGCAGCGCGCCGGCCTCGTCTTCATCTACGACATGAGCGGCTCCAAGTATTCCAACTTTGACTACGACCTCTCCCAGAAGATTCTCACGCTGCTCAAGGTGAGTTTCCGTTTCCGATGGTGCGATTGTGCGATTGTGGCATACTTTTCGGCAGCCTTGGGGAAATAGCTAGAGGAATTAAGAAACTGAGCAGGGAAGTGGACTTGGTTGAAGGTTTGGTCACACAAAGACCGAAAGACAATTGTTAAGCATTCCGATTTAATGGTACATTTTATTGTAATCCTTTCTTGGCTTGAATTAAAGCAAGAGAAAGGTATAATTATATCACTAAAGGTATAAAAACAATTATATTTGAATTAATCTTAAAAGCTGTTTAGTTAAAACGTTTGATTTCAACTTTGAAAACTTGTATTTGCTAACAGATAAATATTTTGCATTGCATAGTTCCATTTATGTTAAATTTGATCAATGGTTGTTAAAATTCATTTATTATTTACTTTTTGTGTATTTTTTTTTTTAATTACATTTTTTGGTCAGAATTCTCTTAAACAAATTGTAGTATTTTTTGTGTAAGCTAAATTCGAAGAGTTCTGCCATAAAGTTTACCATTTTGACTACAAACGACATTTAAATTCTTTAATTATAATGTAACTTTTGCATTTATTATTTAGCACTTTTGCTCAGAATCCTCAAAAACATAACTTATATTCGTAGAGTGTGCTATTTTGACTGCAAAAGAGCTTCAAATAAATGCACTTACCTTGCAAAGTTTTGGCAGAATTCGAAGTAGACTCCGTCAGATTTCCAGGTGGGCTGTCATCAGAGCAAAAGCCCCCCCTGCAGTTTGCCCCATTGTCGCACTTCCGGCTCTTGGCAAGCCAAAAGTCAACGCAACACAATCCCAGCTTGCCCCACAAAAGCACAAAGCGTGGCACAACGGCGGCCCCTGAAATTAAAATATTAAACAACATGCCTGCCTCTATTAATACAAAAGATATTGCTCATTTGGTGTGTGTGCTGTACTGTGCTGTGCGTTTCTCACATTTGCCCATATGTGCGCAGTTTTGGTCGTACCTCTGTGAATCAGTGTATCATCGGCGCATCCGAACTATCCGAGTTTTGTGTGCCAAGTGGCCTGTGGATTCTCTATCGGCGGAAAATGTCTTCAAGTTGAAAATTTCTGTCTCGTCTCGTTGCCTTTTCATGTCATGCGTCAAATTTTTCATATTTACTTTGTGCTTCATGTTGATTGAAAGGAAGTGGGTGGGATCGGGTAGTTTTATATGGCTGCTATTTAATGTTATTTTATGTCGATTGTATTGTTACAAAAAGCAGATGGCAACTCCAGTTTTTCTTAGTTTTTTAAATCTTTTTTTTATTGCCATTCAGCTTTAATATCTGTATAATAATCTACTTGACACTTAAACGAAATAATTTGCAATTAGTAAAATAGTTTTTTTGTTTAAGAAAGTATTAATCTTATTTGGACACATGTTTTTATGCATAATAATATTTGTTGTTTTTTTTTTTTAAGCTTAAACATAATAGTTTTGCAATCAGCTAAATAGTTTTCGGATACGCATAAAATTATTTATTTTCTATTATTTGAAACTTAAACAAAATAAAGTATTTAACTTAAATTGGACATATAAATTACTTGCACAATAATGTTTATTGTATCTAAAGTATGTTAATTACAAAAAAAATATGAATAAGTTTACTTTAATAAGGATTGTTTGTTAACTTATTTTGTTCGGCTTTTAACTTGGTTTGAAAAGTGTGGTTTTGTAGGCCTCTTTTGAGCACTGTTGTGGATTTCTCTATTATTCAGCTGTATTCCGCCCATAAAAGTTAGTTATGCGCTTTGTTTTTACCATGAACTCCCATAAATTATTACTGTCGTACCTGACTCGGAAATCCTTGTTGTAGGAAGTAGTTGAGTGCACACAATCAGCGCCTGCATAAAAAAAAGGAAATAAAGTAATAGAAACCCCCACTTAGTGCACACACCCACGCACAAGGGGTTGTATGTATGTTTGGTGGGTGGTAGGCGGTGGGCGGTTATCTGTGGGTGGGAGTGGCAATCGCAGCATGCGGTGCGTGGGCGGTGGTTTTCGTCAGCCCACGCGAAAGATGAAAACAACGGATTCGAGCACTATACTCCCTTCTTCCGTTTTTAGCCACACTGAAGTAAGACGTAATTTTGATTGGGGACAACCCACTGACACCACCCACCATCCCCTTTCTGCGTCCTATTTGCATACGCAACAACAACAAAAAAACACAGCAAAAACAACAACAGGTAGCAGCTATCATCATCCCAGTTTGTTGCTGTACTGTTGCGCCTTGTTTTCCATTTCATTTGCGTTTCGTTTGCTCGAGTCCCACATTTTTTTGCTCTTCGCTGTTTGCTTTTTGTCTTGGAATTGCGTTCTACTTGTCGTCCTACTATATATACTATACACTGTACAGTGTACAGTTACCGGAGATCGTACCGGGAACGAAAATATATATAAAAATAGTAATTTGAGGGAGTTTGTATGGGGACCCAGAGAAATCGCCGGCCGACATTGAAAGTCCGACACATTTCGCTCAATTTGCTAAAAAGCCTCTTCAGGTACAAAAATATACATATATGAATAAACATATACATGTTGTTTATCTACCTTCCTATATTTGTATACATAATCTGCCCACTCAGTTGTACAGACGGGGTTAGACAAATATCAATTATTATCTATCATTATCTCATACTATTTAGATTATAAAATAATTAATTTCAGCTTTTTGTTACGTACATTTAATAATTTTGTCCATGTGTAGCATACAATTAATCTGAGCTAGATATGCCATTTTAATAAATTAAAAACAGATTTTTAATTTTTTTGCGGATAATAACACTTTCTATTATTCGAATATAAGTTATGATATCTTAGATTCAAGGTTTGGTGACCTTTTAAAGCTTTGTATATAGTGTTATTGCAGTGCTATTTTTCCGAGCACGACTGTAAGAATACATAATCATTAAATTATTAGTTTTTAAACTAAGCTAATATATTACTAGTGCTATTTTTCTGATCACGACTGTTTCAATACATCTCCATCCATATATATTAATTCCATTCTTCCACGAAAATCAAAACGCACAAAATAAAGTTAACAATGAAAACGATTCGGCGTAGGCGCGCGCTCTTTCCCCGCAAATGAAACGCCCAGTGGTCAGAGGGAGATAGATGGAGGTGAAAAGAGAGACGTGGAGAGGAAGTGCTGGAGAATGAGAGAGTGCCCAATAAGCATTCTCTTTGGCGCGTGTCTCTGCCTTTTCTTTTTGTTTTTATTCTTTTTTTTTTAATTTTATGGAGCGCACCAAAGAAAAGCTGTGTCTGTGACGTCATGGGGCTAAAAAGAAATGAGGAAAAACACGGCAACTCTGGCTTGTACCAAGCCGCGTATGCGCAATATATTGGGCCCATCACGCATACGCAGCGTTGTCGCAACCTGAAGACAGGAGATCATAACGCACACACCCACACACACACACACATGCAGAGAGTGGAATGTGCCCACGCTATTTTACTCTCACTTTTACACAGAGAGTAGGGAAGAAAAAGAGAGAGACTATGTTTATGCGAAAAAAATTTAAGGAAAATAGTCATTAGCATTTAAAGCTGTCATTGTAAATTTGATATTAGTAATATTAATAAGATATTTTTTATATATGAAGTGTTATTAATGTCATCTTAAGTGATCAAATGTAACATTTATGCTTAATACCTTTTATAAATAAGATAAAAAGGGCTATTTTAATTTCACGTATTCGATAGTTCATAATTTGAAAACCATAAACACGTTCACAGAGAGAGGAAGAGCGCGGAAGAGAGCAAAGCTTCGAGACGCGCTCTTTTTCGCTCGATCGCTTGTGGCTATCTTACGCCTTTGCTTGATTAACTAATTCATTTGACGTGTTCTAGTCGAACGTTATAGATTGTAACCGAAAGCCAAAGCAAAGCCGCCTTGCTAAGAAATATACGAGCGCGAAAGAGCGGTAAAAATGTGCGTCCATATGGAAAAGGCATTTCTCATTTACGATGAGCGCGTGTGAAAGTAGTTTTCTATTTTTCCCCATTTTTATTTTGTTGCCCTCGTTGTGTTTTTTTTTTGGCTGCTGCACTTGGCCCACAAACACTTGATCTAACAGTGATTGACGGCGCGATAATTTGATCGTATTTATAGATCGTTCGGAAAAGCGGCGCGAAGTTCATTCATTGGCTCAGTTGGCTTAAATACACGATTAATACCCGATGACGCCGTCGATATGTTAACGCTTTTGTTATTGTTGTCGATACGTTGGCCGTCGCCGCCGCCGCTGTTTTGTGTTATTTTTACAACGTGCTTTTTGTTGCCGCAGCCGTTCGACATTGACGCAAATGTTTAGACCAGACCAGAGTCAGAGTCTCAAAATGCAAATATATACTTTATACAGCTCAGAAAAAAGAGAATTGTACGTGGACTACTCCGCTTCCGTATTACAAGAGTGGTTCCGGAAAATCCAATGCACAAAAATTAATGTTCCAAAATATAGAAAGGAATATTTGGCAATTTGCAGTGTACAAAGTGTACAATATTTCATTTTAATGACTAGCTCAACAAGTAGTGGCGTGTTATTCATATGTATTTTTTAAATACTTTAGTAAACAGTTTTATGACTAAGAACAGGGGACATTTCGTTTTACTCTCCTGTCGAATATATAGAAATGACAAAATCTTTATTATTGACGTAGTTGCGTAAAATAAATGTTCGATTTTGAGCGCCTTAGAACAGCTCTATAAAAATATCGTCAAGTTTGGGTTAACTAAAAATAAATTATCTTATCAAAGCAATTGGAATTTTTCGTTTATTTATGGTAGTCACTTCCTTCTAGTTGGCCGGGAAATGCCTGAAATTAAATAGCAAAAGCACAGTCATCGGTTCAGAGGTCACATTTGAATGTGGTTTTTTGGTCATTTGAAGTAGCTCTCCATATAAAGTGATGGGTTTCGTTTAATCTTCTTTACTCAGTAAGTAAGTAATGGAATATTCTTAGGATTTTTAAATGTAG